AGAAGGGGGTGGGGTGGGGTGGGGTGGGGTGGGGGAGAAAGAATGAGAGCACATGTCTGGAGGGACCAGAGATCAAAGATTAACAAAGAATCTTCAAATTAGCCCCTATTTTGTCATCTCTGTCAACTACAATCACTCCCTTTATGGGCGAGGCATCCCCCGGAAAATTAGGTCTTTCACGGGCCACAGGCGGCGGTGTTAAATTTCAATTTAGTTTCATTAAATGTTTTTGTAAGGCGCATTAATGGGCTATCTGGACCATTAAATCGGAGAGAGAGCAACGATTTGTCAACAATTTCTCCGGCACAGAATCGCCCAATTAGCAAATCTGTGGTTGCTGTCCCCTTCTAGTGACGTGAAGTGCAATCCTCGGAACGCCAGAGAAACTCCTTGAGCGACGACCTCGTCTTTGGAAGTTCCAGGTGTCAGGAAATGTGTCCTCTAACTGCTTCAGATCAAGACTAAAATTTTATTTAAACAACATCCCCCCTAGGTGTCAGTTATTCTTGAATATGGTCCTGATCGAATCTGTCAGAGATTGTCTTCCAGCTTTAAAGAAGTTGTCAGTGTAATTGGAAAATCTTTTTCATTTTCTTTCCACGAAATTGAAAATTGCATTTCTGGGACACCGATGGGAGAATTAAGAAATAAATCAATTCTTACGATTATTTCAGTAAGTCTACGAGATTATCAATGATGCGTTCGCTACTTGGGGTTCAGACGTTGCACGTGCATTTAATGACGTGGATGTTACCAGCAATTTGTTTGGTTAAGATGAAATTTTTTAAAGGTTTTTGTCGTTCTTATAATTAATTCAACTTTTGTTCATGCTTTTGTGCAGCAGATGCTTTTCATGCTTTGTTGGATGTCAGTTTTTGATAGATAAGCATCAAACCAGTTTTTGGTTCTTCTTTCTTTTTATTCATTTATGTCTTTATTTATTCTCAGTTAACCTAACAGTGTTGATAGGGGGCGTTAAACCTATTCCCTTTTATAAAAAAAAAATCAGTTAAGGTTATTTTTCGTTCAGTTTTAAGTATACGTTTGGTAAAATTTGGGAATTGATCTTGTGTGAAGGCCTAACAATAGAACAATAGAACAATAGAACCCCCCCCCCTCACTTCACTAAACA